TCTAGTAACAGATATTATTTAAACGCCAAACACTACAAACATCTGTTACTATGAAATAAGTTTGTTTTGCGGCCAGGCGTTGGTCTCACACACCTTTAATCCCAGCACTCGGGAGGCAGAGGCAGGTGGATCTCTGTGAGTTCGTCGCCAGCCTGGTCTACAGAGCGAGTTCCAAGACAGCCTCCAAAATAGTACAGAGAAACCCTGTCTTGAAAAACCAAAAAAAATAAATAAGAAATGAGTTTGTTTTTACTTAGGTTTGAAAGTAGTCTATGGCCTAGAGTTTCTTCTAAGGCACTCAGCAAACATCTATGAAGAACAAGGGAGAATAGATACACGTCCTGTCCTTATGAAGGGTGCAGTTCTCTGACAAACCGAAGTTCACAGGCTAGAAACCTCCTCCATCAAACATTTCTAATCATGTACATCTAGAAGGAAAACTTGACTCACTTGGGTGCTATGATGCCACTGAAGTTCAAGTAGGGAATTAGGTGGACTTGTCCCCACTACTGACACAGAGCAGTGACAACCTTGGGACTAAAAGCCAATCCCTTCTTGGTTAGGAAATTAATCTCTTTTTCCAGCATAGAAAGCTTTTCAGGCATCTGAGGGTTTCTGCTACTTAAATTTCTTGTCAAGACATGACTAGCAAAAACCCCTCCAACTCACAGGGATAGTGTACAGAACTCAGTCGTGCCTGTGGAACTCTCCAAAGAGAGGCACTTCTACAAAGAACTGCGAAGAAACAAAGCAGTGAAGATGTGGCCTCACTTTCAGAGATATGTGCTTAAAATCCTGCACATTCTACCTTCTCATTCTACAGCATCATGTTCTATTCAAATCAAAGAGTAATTTCTTGAGCTCCTGTTTCAAAAACTTTACAGAGATAAACACAGTGATGGTAAACATTGTTTATCAATTTGACCAGGTCTAGAATCACCCCGAAGACAAAGCTCTTGGCATGTTTGCAACAGGGTTTCAAGATTGTACTTTTATGGGAAGACCTACCCTAAACATGAGCAGTGCTATCCCACTGGCCTGTGAAACAGGGCCCGGATCTGAAATGAATAAAAAGCAGAAAGTATGGGAAGTAGCTACATTCATTTTCCTTGGCTTTCCTGATTACAGATTCAGTGTTACCAACTGCCTCAGGCTTCCCTCACCCAGGCAGATCATGTCCCAAATCTGTGAGCCTAAATAAACCTACCCTTCCTTAAGTTGCAAATATCAGACATTTTGTCACAGCCATAAGAAATAAGAAGTGTACTGTTGCTATAATGAGGAAACTCGCAGCTTGGGAACAAAGAAAATGTAAAGAAAAGGAAAATATATTACCAAAACAATAAGAAAGCAAATGTCCAACTTCATTACAAATGCCATCAAAGTCATGTTGAGGTCTGAGACATCCTTTAGTGGATACTCTGAAAGACTGTCAAGCTAAACTTTTAAAAAATGTGTTTGCAGAGTAATATACCACAGCTCTCATGAAGGTTCATGACTCTAAATGGCATTTCAATGTCTTGAGACAATCTGTTAAGTAAACACCATAGTTAGCTTTGCTTAATAAAATATTACCCAAACTTATTTGACTATGAACATGTGCAAAATGCCTGTCTTGGTCTCAGTGTAAATACAGACACAGACAATAAACCTTCTAACTGTGGACAGAAGGAAGGAAGGAAGGAAGGAAGGAAGGAAGGAAGGAAGGAAGGAAGGAAGGAAGGAAGGAAGAAGGAAGGAAGGAAGGAAAACAGAAAGCCATAATTTATAGATCGATGCTGGTTCCTGAAGAAATCGCTGCCTTCCCACTTGATGCTGAAATGAATTGAATATAACTGTCCTCAGCCTCATGTGCGCCTCTCCACTCCTTTTCAACCTTTCCCTGTTCCTTTTCTAGAAATAAGTTGTCCTCTTCCTAAAAGCTCATAGTGGGTGTTTGGACTTCCCAGAGTGATTCATGATAGTTCTAACCTGGTCCAATTTATTCATATTTTCATTTTTTAAATGGGAATTCAAGGTTGTATTCATGGAATACAACTCAAAGCTGTTATACAATGAAAACATTAGAGGAACATTTCTCAGAACATTTAACTTCTGCTTTAATTTCTCACTGGTCACTTTTTAACTGGATAATGTTATGTAAGTACTGTGAACTCTGCTATCACTATCACAAATATAGGATAGCAATCTGTAATTTGAAGACTACTATAAGATTATTCTAATCTTCACAAAGTCATCTCATAAATGATGAGATGTCAATATTCTATTTTGTACACCTAGCTACAAGTTCATCCCGAGTTGTCCACGTCCTAGTGAATCCTATGTGTCTTTTCAAGATATTTTGTCTATGAAATAAGCCTGGCGAGAGCAACCACATTTAAATGATCTTGGAAGTCAACTTGCATCATCCTTTGACATAGGACTTCCATATAGTGTTACTCAAATTCTATCAAAACAATGACTAGTTTGCTGGAGGCAGTTCATCAAACTATACCCTCACTTGCCCTTTTGTTCCCTGCCTGAGGAACCTAGACAGGCCTCCCTTATTCTCTCAAACCCAGTAACACTGAGGGACACCCATGCTCAATCACAAGAAAAAAAATGGAACAACTCTGGATACCAGTTCTGACTGTCATTATTCACTCTGTGACCTTGGCCACAAAATTTTATTGTCCAAGCGTCTCAGCTTCTACAACAAGCTTTATCAGGAAGAGTTAAAGTCAAGAGTTCAGTCAGAACCTTCAGGGAGGACTTAGCATATTCCAGGCTGACATGGTGCCAACTGGGAAGCACAGTGCCTTCTATGCTCATATTGTCAGGCAACCAAAGAAAACAGTCTGCTCAGCATCCTCCCCATCCATATCCCCAATCCTGACCCTGAAATGCAAAAGTAATATTCCTTGTCTTGGTGCAAACTTGCAGAAGGCCATTTTAAAGAGGGTGAGAATAGCAAGATTTAAAGAAGATAGCCTGTCTCTGTGTCTAAAGTGTTAAAGAAAATCTGCTTATGAACTAACACTGAGGAGGTTTGTGTCCCCAGTGAGAAAATTCTATGGCTTCTTTCACTAGGTTTTGGACACCAGGACCATCCTGACAGATGGCAATGTACACCCACCAGTCCCAGAGTCTGGGCTGTGACCTTAGTCCACAAGATCACACAGAAAGGAGGTGAGGGGAGGAACTTCCTCATCACGTTTGATTCCTTATGCACTGGATATCTGGCGAGCTTATTGTAAATAAAGCAATGCCATGCAATCTGCCTCATATAATAGTGAAAATAAGCTGGGATTTTACACTGTTGTCACCTAATGATCTAAAAACCACTAAAGACTCAAGTGACACTAATTTCAAAGTCATGCCTTACCTTCATCATATAGCTACTTACAGAAAATTCACTGGTCTTACTCACAAAGAGGCATTCAAGCAGTGTTTAGTGTGAGATTTTTAAACAACTTTGAGAAGCGAATTACATAGAATAACAGAACATGAACAAGATGAGCATTTTGTGGCTATACCATAATACTGTCGGGGGCCCTTTTTCTCCAGTGCAAAACGGATTAGAAGCGTAAGCGAGTACCTACAATGTGTAGTTCCTATATCAAATGCTAAGAACAGCAGAGATTTCATCAGATCTCAGGCACCAAGGAGCTGACATCCTAGCAGAGAGAATCTCCACTTTGATGTGACTGATTATAATTGATTAAAATTGACTGTAATTAGTTATAATCAGTCACAAAACTGGGAGAATAAAGTCTGCACTTTATGTGTTTATTGATGGAATTATACCAGTTACCATATATATTATACATAAATATATACAGTATCTAAAAGAGTATTTGCTATCAGTCCTTAAGTGTCATTTAACTATGTTTTCTTATGCTACTGGTAAGCATACAATCAGTGCAGAAAACACACTGGCATGCTGTAAGGAAGGCATTATCTGCATTTTAATAGGCTAGGGAGACTGGGGCTTGTTTTTTGGATGATAGAAAGGTGTTTCAACCCAGAGATGAAGTGCTGGAAGCTTCCTTGGAGATGGAATTCAACTGGACTCTGAAAGCACACTGAAAATACAGCCATGCATACACAAAGGCATCCCAGACCAAAATTATACCCGAAAACATGCCATACTTTTTTTTACCAGTGATCCTAGAAAGCAAAGGGAAATGTACTGACATGCTAATTAAATGCATCTACTCTTGCAGGCATGTGGATGGGGAGGGGGAATTTTGTTCTGTATACTCCAAGGACAGGCCCTCCTTGGAGCTGCCACTCATATCAAGGCTCAGTTACTACATTCTGCTCCAGGTAGCAACACAAGTGCTTATAGGAGTTGACAGGACATTTCTCAAGTCATGGGGCCACAGAAGTCACTTTTATCAGAACAAAACTAACCATATACAAGAGGAATCCATTCCCATTAACCCAAACTGTAGTTTTAGAACACTTTGTCTCGCATCGTTTTTTTCATACAGAAATACATCTAAATCCCTTCAGATGTCCAAGAGACTGTCATTTAATATTGAGCCTCTTCTACAGGACGAGTGATTTCCCCAAAGTTCCACTCATGATAAATGGGGAAGCCTGTGCTCAAGTCCAAATACCTTGACACCAAAGTGTGTGATCTTTCATTCTGCAGGAGGGCTCCCTATTTGGCCTTGTAATTACTTTAAAAGTTGGTGTTGAAGACAGGAAGTTACAAAGACACCATTTTCAACTGGAATTTGAATGTCTGCCTTCTGCTTAGCAAACAGTATTAGCATTCATCATGTCCCAAGGAAAGTCCCACATTGCTTCATGCCATTGATTTGCCACTGTCTCCAACAAAAGAACCTGCATGCCTGCCATGGCCCTGGGAATTTTAAACAAGAAGTCAATGAGAGATGCTGGTAAGTGGTCTGTAATTGTCTAGGGGAAGAGGAAACCTTGCTGGAATAACAATCATATCAATATTCTGGCTACATGAATGATGCTGCAGTGAATTACAACAGGATACTTACACTCCAAAGCCTAGGGTGGCAGATCTGCATAATTAATCTCTCTCTGCAATAACCCCACAGGTTCAGCAGCATTGGCATTCCACAGTCAAAATTAATGTCTTATTATTTCTCTCCTCTTCGGTGTTTCTTCACATGCATGAAAATAATATCACATTTAGGAAAATAGTAGCATATTTAGCAGCTCTATTAACACAGACAGGATATTAAAGGTTTATTGAGCAACAATCATTAAAAATGTTGTCATGTAAATCCAAGCAGAAAGACCCAGGACAAACTATAAACATATATATATATATATATATATATATATATATATATATATGTTGCTAATGATTACAGCTACTAAACTCCAGATGCTTCAAGAGTTTAGTTGAAGTAAACTCAAACTCTGGATATGTTACTCTTAAATTACTATAGTGACTCTGGTGGTCACATATTGTCCACGCTGGGATTCTACCTAATAATTTCTGGCAAGTCATACATCAGTGTTGTGTCTGCATTTTAGGTATGCACTACATATACATGGTAGATGAAGCCTTGAGTTAAGAGACTATCTTTTTCTGCAGGACTTTCTGGGGCCTTTCAAAATGCATATTATGAAACTAAATTGCTTAGGAATTAATCATAGTATTCCTCAACCACAAACTGACTTCAAGGATTCCCTTTTTATAATATCTCCAAACATTGGTGTCCTTGAAGAATTTAGAAATGCTGGCTGGCCCCCCTTTAGAAAAGCTAAAGTTTTTGACTATTTAAAACAACCTCCAAGTAGACCAAATTTTGGAAGTACCTACAAAATTCTCCAATGAGGTGGAAAACTAGCTTGTTTTATTTGGGGGGGTGTTAAAGTAAGGGTCATGAATTCTTAATTGGTGAAAAAAATAGAAACTAAAGAGAACTACAAGTCAATGTTATCATTTGCTAAATCATTTCTATTACAAGGTCAGGAAGGAAGAAGGGCAGACTAACAGAGAGCCTGAGACACAAGTCATGCTGGAGAGAGTAAGCATGACACTATGCTTTGTCAGTATAGCTGGATGAAGGAGACTAGATTCCAATTAGAGCATGTAGATACTGAAAAAAAAACACTGACAAATCCAAACACAAGACAATAGTGTCAGAAAAATCAGAAAGGAGCCATTACTCTCCCAAGTATCTCAAGGTATGGTGAGAAACCCAGGTGGCCCTAATATGTGCTGAAAAAACTAAAAGGTCCCACTGTTTCTAATTGCTGTGCCATTTCTGAAAAAGAAAAAGAAAATGAGTTTATTAATCAGACTGGCCTAAAATTCAATAGTTTTCACATGCAAATATTCTCTCCATCCAAGAATGCATGAAAAACAGATGAAAATCTCTCTCCCTAAATCCAGAGGAAGAGATATTTATCACACCACAATAGGAAAGTTTGTAGAAGTCTTAGGTAAGGCATCGGGTGTCATGGGGACACCAGTGACTGATGACACTGATGACTGATGACAAAGTGCAAAGCACTTTTTCCCACACAGAACATCTTAATGCCATTGTCCTGATGTCTTTCATATGACATTCCAGATCCTCCAAGTCTTGGCAAGAACCCTTTCCCCTTCTTCCCTGAAACACTCTTCAGCCCCAACTCCCACCATAGGCACATAGGTACACATAGGTGCAGATGGCACGGTGTCTTACCCTGTACCTTTGTTCCCCTGAAAAAGCCACTTCTGTCAAGAGTATTCTTCACTCTCCTCTTCACATTTACAAATGCTATCAGTCCATCAAGAACCAGGATCAAAACTAGACTTTTCATGAGGTGCCCTGTTCCTATTTATAGAATGCAATTCCTTCCTTATTGCACTGTATACTGTGCTTCCTGTAGAGCTCCAGGAATGTAAAGTTTTTGTCACATCACAACTAGAAACGTAATGTAGGCTTTCACTGGTCAGACGCTTAGAGACAGGCTTAGTGCTGTGTAATGACTGTCTCCTAAGGTCTCACATGAAGCCTGGTCCACACAAAATACTTGGGCTACTGACGGAATGACTAGTCCATCTACACACAGTGGTTTGATAGTTTGTTTCTTGACACAGGAAAATGTAATCCTTTAGGTTTTCTACAACTTTAGCTTGTATACACTCATTTATTCCCCTTGAGTCCTAGTTCAGGAGGTATTCCTCAACAAAATTAGCCAAACAGCATTCAGCAAAGTTCTGTTAGGTTGTTATCTGTCTTCAACAGAAAGGACCTTGTTATACTTCAAAATTCACAGCTGGGCATTTATTATGTGCATGGCGACACTATGCAAGAGCCACTCAGAGAGCTCTTGTCTAGGTGAATACACAGGGAACTCCTGGGACTAAGCCCTGAATATTGCTTAATTTGGATTCATAGTGTCTGATTCAATACTATTGCAGTTCATTATCCTTGGGCCAGGGGCAAAATCCCCTGAGCACGCTGACACTGGGCAGAGAGGAGACACTTCCCTCCACTTAGTGTGTTTCAGTGGGTGACTGCTTCTAACTATTGTTCAGCCTGCCCAAGGGTTTAAGAAAGAAGCTAATTTTTAGGAAAGAGGAGACTATCAGCAATCCCAAGAGTTCGTTCAGACTGTCTCCCAAATTCTGCAGAGGTCAAGAACGAAGGAAAGCAAAGGGAGGGGAGATTATTGGTACACTCGGGGTACAGCGGACAGAGCCCCAGGTCACAGAACTTTGGGAATAAGCACTTTCCCATCACGTGGCTGTATGCCTCGCTGCATCACCCAGCAGAAATAACTCATGCTATGATAGACTACAGTGAGTCTTTTCATGTCTCAGCTACTTGATATTCACACAGCTCATTCAGAAGAGAATATTATAATTTTCCTGTTTTACAGATGATGAAATTAGGTGCAGAAAGGTGAAGTATCTAATTCAGTATATCACAGCAATCAAACAGCAGAGCTTGGCTTTAAGTGAGGTTCCATGAGGCCAGCACATTGCCTGTCCCGGGTCTTCACATTGCTCTCCCGGGGACCCACTGCAGGCAATAAACCTAACACACGAAGGAAGCCCCTGATATTTGTTTCCTATATTTTACAAACTATTCCAAAAGATCAATTAAGAAAGGCAAAGATTCACTAGTGTGAAGGTCATAGAAACTGCCACGTCTTTGTTAGAAACTGCCAAATCTTTGTTAGCAAAATGACCAAATTATAAGGAAAACTAAATTTATGAGGAAAGCTTTTCCATTCCTTTAGAGCAATGGAGCAGCAGAGATGAGATGCCTGAGTGGGTGCACCAGCTTACAGTACTGGTAATTAGGGTGGTGTCACCCGCATAAGTGGGGGCAAGACATGCAAGTACTTCAGAGTCTTTTTTTTCCAGCTTATCAAGAAAACACCTTTGCCTTTCAAATCCAGAGAGACAGAACCCTCTACTCACTGCCCACAGGCAGGATATGGAAATCTGGAGGACAGTTTTTAACAGAAAATTGAAAATGTTAGTAACAGCAGCTGCCAGAGGCTGGGAAGGGCGGAGATTGGGAATTGGTGTTATCAGAGTAGTTTCTATTGGAGATGGATTTGCTGACAGAGTAGACAGAGCTCCAGAACAGCCCCAATGTCCCTGTTCCTACAGAACTGCAGACTTAAAAAATGTTTAAAATGGTGGATTAGCATATTCATATCATTTATCAAAAATAGTAATAATTAAAACATGCACACCACCCAGCCATGAAGCCGTGAATTCAATTTCCTAGCAACCAGGTGAAAACAAAGCAAAACCAGTTTGGCATGTGTTGTAATCCCAGCACTGGGAGGCAACAAAAGGTGACCCCTGGAGCTTGCTGGTGGTCTGCTCAGTCCCACAGACCTATCATGTTAGCCAAATGGCTGCCGTGGTCAGGAGTCCTGCTGGGCTTGCTTGCAAAATATCAACAAAGTTGGACTTACTGACTTCCCTTTCCCTTGGAGAAAGAAGGAATGGGGCACCTCACCAGATCTGCATTGGAGCATCCAGCCAAGACTCTCACCCAGCTTTATGTGCTTCTGCATCAGATGCATGTGGACCTGGGGATAGAGGCTACAGGCAGGAAAGGACTGGGGAGAAGGCTACATGTATGAGGCCAGGGAGGAGTTATCAGACCATTCAGTGTAGCTGCTGTGAAGCCCCCCACCCAAATAAACTCAGTGGTTCCTAATCACAGTGAACTGTGATGGAATCACACATGGATTTGACACTGGGCCCCTAGAAGGAGTCAATTTGTCCTCCCAAGGGAAGGAATTTATAACATCACCCTGGTCAAGTTGGCAAGATCCAGGACTCAGTAAAAGATCCTCTCTGGTTGAAGGAAATACTTGATGCTGACACCTGACCTTCACATGCATGTGAACACACATGAATTCACACCCGTATATCCACCTCACAGGTGTGCATATGCACATACCCTTCAAAGGGCTGAAGATCAATTTCAAACAAATCTTTGGATAGTCTGAACTATATTGGATAAACATAGAGGAAAATAACCTACTCAGTATAGATGATATACAAGCAAACAGGGATCGGCTATTTCCCGGAGAGTAAGGAAAGTGGAGAGTCAAGAAAGCCCTTTCCTCCCCTTTGTGTCCTACACCCCAACCTTTCTCTTGGTACATTCACTTTAAAACACTTGTAAATGTTTAATACTTTCTACTCTTTGAAATGCATACAAACTCTCCCAAACAGAGAGCTTTGCAATCTTGGCATACCTTTTTTTTTTAAACCAGGGTCCATTTCTCACACAGATGCCCTCAATCCCATTTTCAATGGAATAACAGGATTCTAACTTGGGTTGGTATCACTATAATTTCCAAAGTTACCCCCTGCCACAGAAATACAAGAAGCTTGATTTCCTTTGGGTAAAGACATGTAGCTAAGAGAGAGCATTGTCTCAACTGTCAGGTGTATATGTAACACACGGTGTTTAATGTGACATCTTACTTGAAGAATATTGTTTATTTTTAAAATATGAATATGATAGACTTCTTGATATGTAAAGGAGTGAGGTGTGGGGGGTATATGAGGAGAGGAAGGAGGGGTGCAGCAATTAGCTTTAAGAGTAGTGTGACACAATGTAGAACCTACTTGAGAAGGGAATTTCAAAGAGGGACTGTCTATATTAGGAAACTTTCTGGG